TACAACTTAGAAAATGGAAGGGAGCTAAAGAAAACTACTAACATGGTTATTTTTTTGGAATCTGTTCTTGTCTCTCTTTATGTGCAGATGTTTTGTTTTTGTTGCTCATGGAGCTGTATTTATGCAAAACTCAGATGTTTGTTCTCTTTAACAGAACAATCTTCTTCTTCTCTGCACAAAGAACAATCTCAATAGTGTTAAGCTCATTGCAATCTTATTATCCACGCAAAATGTGATTAAGAACAAGCTCGGCGACTTACGTGAAGTTGAGATTCCCGTAGATTTTCGAGCATTTCGGTTATCTCGATCTGTTTCATCACTGTGGCATGTAAAACCTACAAAACAATGAAATCTTATAAGTTTTGTGGGTTTAACATACTTGAAAGATAGTGATTAATTTAGGAATGAGTGTATATTACCCTCTTTGTTTTATCGAGATCAAACTCAACCGACTTGATTCTGTCTAGAGAATCCATCAACATTCTCTCTTTCTCTACAGGTATTTCAACAGGTTTGTTTCGGAGATCCTCGTACTTCGTCTCCAGTTGATGAATACGCTCCAAACACGGAAGAATCCGGTCTTTCATTGTAGGCTCTATAGGAGGAGTTGGGATGAGGCTGATCATAGTTTCATCTTCTGTTGGACTTGAAGGTGTGACGGTATTCTGCCTTCTCGAAAACTCAAACGGGATATAACGGAAAACTGAAGCTAGTTTCAGCATTAACGAAAGTAACCTCTTCGCTAGGTTCTCGGATTTTATCTTGTCAATTGTTCCCTTTAAATCTTGAAGCCAACGGATAATCGGAGTACCTGGACGATGGAGAAAAATTATACAGGAAATCTGTGATATTTAACACTACGGACCGTTTGGTTAAAAGAAGCCAAATAAGAAGTATGGATAAGAAGTATAACCTGGTGAAGATGTTTCGTCTTGTAAACCGAGAGTTTTTTTATTGAGTCCGAGCATTTGGTAATCGGATTGTCTTTCTTGGCCATTTCGGTTAGTAGCTATGCCAGGTATGGTAAACTTGTCATCGCAACTATAATACCCGTTAACATCCGATGACCTAGCCTGCAATAGATCATATTGTTCCGGTCAGTCTTTAAGAGACTAGAAACGGTCTGTGACACAAATGTACCGATACAAGAACTCACTTCTTCATAAACTTGATTCACATGAGCAGAGGTTGAGCACATTCTTCCATTTAGAGAAGTAGGAACATCAGAACAAGATACAGACTCAGCTGCTGAAGTGTCAGCTTGCATATCCTGAAAGCCAAGAGTTGCATTGTCACATTTAGAGAAAATCTATGTTTAAGAAGAACCGAGAAATTGACTTGATCGAACCATTTACCTTCGATGGATGTATACTTATGTAAGAGGAAGAATTCTGTGGATCACTCAGTTTCCTGGTGATTTGCCTAACGAGTGATGCGTCTCCATGGTAGATAAGCTAATCAAGGCATAAATCTAAAACATGAGCTTCATGCACAAGTCTGAACTAAAAAAACATTGTCCTCGACAAAGATGTAGAACTTACCTTCATTATTTCAGGATCATTCCACGGTCCTTTATTAGAGCGAAGACAACCGCCGTCGCCAAAGCAAGAGCATGAACCTCCGAGGAACTCTGGCAGTTGACTGAATCACAGAGCAATGGAGCTGGTAAGTATACGACTAGAAATGACATATGAAATCTCCAGAGATGCCAAATAAAATGGAAACAGAACTACCTTGAATCAATCACTTCATGTAACTTAGATAAAGATTTGGGTTCTAACACCTGCAACGAAAGAACTAAGATAAACCACACATAGCAATAGTTGACCATAAGAGAAAACTAGAGTGAAAGCTGTTCATGTACATACATGTATCTTTGAGATGGTCTTTGCATCAAGAAACTTCTGAGCAGCAGGCCAAAGCACTTTCTTGAAACCTGTTCCAGCATTTACGATGTACATTCTGTGTAACGTCTGCAAAGCAATACGATGATTAGTCACACAACCCCGGTATGTATGTGAAGAAGAACGAGATGTAAATGGAGAAACTCAAACTCAAGTACCTCGGGGTAGTAGCTGTTATCAATCTTCGACATGGCAGCCACAAGATTTGCAGCGGTTGGTGTAAAGTTCTTCATGCCCTGACATTAACAATGAAACTGCACAGCTAAGAATCTAGTGGCACTAGAAGAGCAAGTCGAAAAGTCGAGAAGAAGTTATGTAATTTTACCAATCCTTGCACGTCCAGTACTGTAGTCGTGGAACAGATACGACGCTTTGCTGCAATCGAGCATGCAGGGAATTTCTCTAAGAGAGCTCTCTCAAACTCTTGAACATGGTATTTAAGATATCTATCTATGGTTGTGATACGCATAAGCTTAGCGGGATGAGCTTTTCCAAGCCTTTCAATGTAGACAGGCCTTCCTTCCTTGTCAACTCCATGATAGCCTTGAGGATAGTATTGCAGAACTTCTTCCAGCTCTTCGAAATCAAAATCCTAGCATCCGCGTACGTAAAAGAGTAAAATTGTAAGAGCTTGATAAGGAATAACAAAAAAGCTGGTTTCGAATTTAAATCGATGACTCGTTACCTCTAGTATGGTATCTGTTCCATATTCTTTTCTCCATCTAAGCATTTCTTCCCACATTTGGATGGTTTTTTCAATGTTAAGGTCCCTTGCTTTCAAAAATCTACATTTCCAAAATGAATTGTTAGCAACGCATCGCATTTAAAGCTTATGTAGGTACTAAAGAAGGACAAACTAACCTCAGAAGAGTATGGTACTCATCATGTCTAGGAGGTAACAAATCTCTCTCAAGAAGCTTCCGGCGAAACTCGAGGACAACGCTCTCTTCTTTTTCATCCCTTACATCTTCTATGGAGACTGAAGGAATCCGATAGTCGATTTTCCTTTTCCCTCTTTTCTTCAAAGAATGAGTGAACTTGGTCGAAGCATTAATCGCTTTCTTCTTCAAATTCCCGATTTTCGATCGCCTTCTTTCATCTTCCGAGATTTCAAAATCTGATCTTCTCTCCCTAATTTCGTCAAAGGTACCGTTTTCTTCAATTCCTTCAATACACAGATCAAAAGTAAGTTTCAGAAAATTCTCAACATCTAAACTGATTCTTTAATAGCCAAAACATTCGATCATACACAAATCGAGAACAAACAACGAAATTTACCTGACATATCAATTCAAAGTGCAAAAGCTTCTTGATCCAAAGCTGATTCAGAGGACATGCAAGTGAATCATACGACCATCACTAGTGAGACAAAACTAAACCTGGAGAAACAGAACGCACACTGTTATTCAAAGTTTGAGAAACTAAATCAAGATTCATCTTTTAAAGATTCATTCAAAATATGACTCTTCAAAGATGATAATATTCCTGTGAAGCCATTAAATATTCATCTTCTACACGGCCATATAAACCACAAACCCCGTGAACATAAGAATTAAAGCAGTACCCACAAGATATTTGCCTTAGCCATTACCACAGAAACAGTACACATAGAAACAAGAACTTAACCTTTTTGTTTTGTTGTGTTGGTAATTAGCAGAAACACAGTAAAAGCTTCAGATCTGCTCTTAAAGTTGTGAGGCTTAAGAATCCATGATTCCTCTGCATTTAAGTCTTAACTTACACTTGTCTTCTCCACCTGAAAAGAAAAAAACGCATAACTTGAGCTATCACCATAAATGCAATCTCGTAACTTTAAATGTGTCTTAAACAGAGAAACCGTTAGATAAAACAGTAATCACAGAGCATCAAAAACTCGTAACACCGACACTAAATCTGCTTAAAAGTTGGAGCAATGCCGATTAAAGAACAATACGGATCTCACTTTCGATTTCTCAACAGTGATTCCACCGACAAACAAAAACAAAAGGAAAGTGAAACAGAACTCAAAGGTCTGAAATTTACCTAACAATGATACACGATCTAAAACCTTCAAAATGATGATCGAAATCGTAAATCAGAGGAGAGATTTTGTCGAATAGAGACAAACCCACAAGCAAGAACACCAAAAGTCTTCGAATTTAGGAAGAAATGAAGAACAGAGAGATTCGA